ATTTATATATTCAATATGTTTTATTGTTGTTTTTATATTTATTTATTTATTTATTTGTAATTCATAGGATCATATTTATATCAAGAGTTTTAACCGATTGTTGTTCATTACTTAGTCCCATTGTTTTTGAAATTATTATTGTTATTTTTTACGATATTATTTTGAAACTCCTAGTATAGTTCTTTTTGTTGTCTTAGGAGTATACTTATTAAAGATAAGGATACATTAAAGATCTCAAATGGCATTGGCGAAATGTGGTAAGAACAAAAAAGTGCTGCACGAGGCGCAACAGAGTGTGTCACTGATGTTCTTAGCACATTTTGACCTCTTCTGCGATCTATTTCTGTACTTATGTACTGTACTATTTCTGGACTTATGGCAACGTGGAATCGATTTGTTTTATATGATATAAAAAATAAATTGTTAATAGGGACGTCATCTAAGCGTCCTTCCTCCAATAGACCATAAGCAAGCACTAATAAATATACGTATATGAGGTTGGCTCGTAATCGGGGCCCGCTGTTTAACCAAGTAAATAGAGGGTGAGGATTCTTGTTTTTCAGTGGTTCTCGCCGTTAATTAAACCAGGACAGATTGCGCGTGTTACACTGTCGCTGAATATGTTGTGTGCGAAGCAGTGTTTTTTGATAAGCAAACAGCTGAGGGATACTTTGTTCGTTAGAAACAATTTCTGTTTTGTGAGTGTTATGATATTTGAAGACAGAAATACGCCCTGTACACGTGCAGTTATTATTTGTTTGCTGAAAGGTAACAGAATTGGCTTTTGATAGGTCCTCCAGTGCTGTAAGGGTAGCAGTATTTCAGGTAAGAGACAAAGACGTGTACGTTCACATTTTCGTCAACAGGCAAGTTGGCAAAAGTAACGAAAACATGCTGCTGCATCAAGCAATAAGCATGTTCCAGGTTGTTATCAGTGTTGCTGCACGAGTTGCGAAGTGCCCACGATAGGAGCCACAAAGTGCAGCAAGCGTGTGAGAAGTCTGACTTAGAACGTGCGGGCTTCACTGCTCGTTGTTGGGTGTTTTGACATTTCGAAAGCACTTTACCAATTTAAAAAGGGGGCAAATGCACACTCTTGATTTACAAATTCACTTTAAAATGTATGTATTTAGATACTTTCGCAGTAATTCCTCTTCAAGACCTAGTTTACCGCGGTTTGAAAATACATTTAATTTTTGTCTAGCTAACTATTTCAGAGGGGTACCGTAAGTAGGAACTGCTTTTGAGATTATCTGTGGTCTTTTTTAAGTATCCACATATGTATTACACTTCGTGATACATACATGTAAAAATCTTTGTCTAATTTTCTTAGGGCTTAAAGTTCTTGCTGGACAACCGTCTTAGCCATCCTCTATTGAAGTCGTTGCTAAGCAATTTACAAGACTTGGTCCATGATCAGGCAGAGAGAGTCCGGGTGGCTTTTCTTGATGTTCTGCTGTTAGTCAAAGGCCTAAAGGCAGTAAAGGTTAGTCGAAGCAGTGGCAGTGCGTGAATATCAGGCAGGTCTGCCTTTAGGCATGCATATAAATGTGATGCCCGTGTCCAGTGCACAGAAATGGAGTCAAATTGTGTAACAAGAGCGTTTTTCGATAGAGTGATTTAAAACCAAAACCAAAGTAATGAGTGATTATTTTTTCTTTTCCCTTTTTTCAGTTCTGGAATGTAGTTCCACTAGAGCAGTTACTCGCTCGGCTGGAGGTGGAACAGTCTGCGACCGTGATTAGGAGACTTGTAAAACTGCTCGTCAATTCATTTCATCCTACCAGAAAGAGTGTCGATGAACAGGTAAGAACGGCTGAATTAAATTAGGTACAGAGGGAAAGTCTTTTCTGTTGAGCATGCTAAAGCACTAAACCACAATTTTTATCGGGTTACCGGCGTAATTAACCGCGCGGAATGTTGAGACAACACTCGAAAAGTTTGTAAACCACGAGCCAGAGACGAGTGACAAGACCAAACCAAAATGCACAGCTGTGGGTACTGTTGTCAAAGCACTCGAAATTTCTTTACACAAACTTAACATCGTAACAGTATTTCAATCTGCATTGTTCTCCTGCTGCTGTCCTGTTTTGTGTAGTTAATTAAAAGTAAATTCGAACCATTGTCATCCGTCTTTATGCCCGTCACTTCAAACAAAGGCCGTATTTCTGAAAGTCACCCAACAATTCAGGTTTATCTCTGTTATTTGCTTCTTTTCTCTGTTCATACAAGGTCTACAAGCGGTCCATAGCCCCTCCACCCTCCCCACCCCTTTGCAAATACGGCTAAAGCTTGGTGCATTTATTTGTATCTTGACTTGTAGGCCATTCGGTGTTCAGCTTTGTGGCAATCCAATCCTCTCGCAGCCAGGAAATTTTATCAATATGTTCACCTACACACAACTGTATCGGCTACAGGTTAGTATCTGTGATGGTATTTTTTAAAAACGTTCTTGATGCAGATGTTCGGGTCCAAGGAGTTTGAAAAAAGTGGCGGTTTTATCGTTAAATAGACCAAGAGCTGATAGCATAACAGCGGGTTTAATGATCTAACTAGTTTATTTTCATCATGTTGTTGTGATGTTTAAAGTAGTTGTTTTATGAAAGGCGTTTCTAATTTAAATAAACTCTTATAACAAATTATGGCAAACAGATAAGATCGATTTTACTCTCATCAGGCTCTCAGCCGTTTTTGGACTCGACCCTTGCCCAATCTCGAGTTCAGGGTCGTTTTGACTCCTTGTTAGCGGTAGGTCGTTATTTGGCGACCATACCGCTGACAAGAAGCCAAAACGACCCCGGGCTTGAGAATTGACCGTTGCCGTGAATGCTTTGTCTAACGTCAAATTCTCCACCACTATACATTAAACACGCTTATATTCGCTTGACGGAACCTCACATTCATCATTTCTCTTTAGGCAAGTTCATAGCATTTCTGGGTAACTGCCTGATGGAGTGCGCAAGAAATGAACACAATGAAAGTAGTCTGTCCTTGGAACCTGATAACCAAGGTAAGTGATGTGATTATAAGTGGCCTTGAACCACTTGAAGAGGGAGGTGTTGTTTACGTAATAGAAATTTGTTCGTGTTGTTGAATTTTCTGATATCGCCTTTCTTGTTATTGTTGTCGTTGTTGCTTTTTACTATTGGCACTGTAAATTTCATCCCATGCAAAAGTTTTTTAGGTCTGCTTTTGCTTTATTCTGTTGACGTATCTACTCGCTATCCATACTTATTACCAAGCTCCAGTGGAAATAATGTCCGACGATACTCAGCAAGTTTTCTCGCTCGTGGAAATATCCTGGCTAGTAAGGCGTAGTTGCGATGTTTATACCCCTGAATATATACATTGAGCAGTCTGTGAACTTCTCGTAAAATGGATGCAGTGTCTCTTAGGGTGAAATCTTTGAAGGGGGGGGGCACCTCTAGGGGGCGTATTTGTTCTGGTGCGAAACCTGCGTCGTTCAAATGTAGAATGGCAGGCCACTGGCGTTGGGTTTTTGATGAGTTCGGGTAGTATCCATCACGAGATGATGGACGAGCTGAACTTTCCGTAATTTTAGATTTGTATTGACATTTTTGTTGGCTATGAACCTTGGCGATTCAGCTCCTATAGGTATGAACAAATCATCTATTTATTTGTGCAGAGACAGCTCAGATGTTGAACCTAGTGCACTGAAAAGTTGCTAATTAAACTGTTATTTTCTGGTAAGCTGAGGACAAGGAGAATTCTGAGTGCTTGGAGAAAATTGGGACATGTGATGTGAGCACGCTAGCAGGGCTGGCCGAGACAATAGCCATCTGCTGGGGAGGTATCAAGGACAAATTGGACAAGGTAGCCTTCATTAAAACCTGATGTTAACACATTTAACTCACTTTTTTAAGCAGTATAGCGAAGTAATTAGCGTAGGTGTTGAAGGCTCGAAGACTGAAAAACCATGGTGACTGCTTCAGGCCTGCACCCCATTATGAGAAGGCATTCATTGTTTGGAGTGGAGGTTGAAAAATCGAACAGAAAAAACACGATAACACTGAACCCAAAAAAACAAAAAGGATGAAAAACAAAACAAAAATGATAAAAAATGTTCGTGGGTAGATGCAGGCGCCAAAATTTTTTCCAAAAATTTTATTTGTTTTGATATCAAGCTCTTCTCGTTGTGGGCAAGTCAGCTATTCATTTTTGGACTGATTGGGAGGAGGGGGGGTGGGAAGGAAAGGGGAGGCGAAAAAGGGAAAAGGGAGTGTGTCAACATTCCCAGAGGGTTGATATATTATTCAAATACCACTTTCTAGTCCGCCAACGATGCAACGAGGTCGAAGTTGGTTGAGAAGTTTACAAAGGCTCTTCCCATACTGTTTGGAGTATTTAAGGTGTGTAATGTTCGCATGACAAAATGACTTCACAAGCTTTTCTTTTTCTTATCTGGTTAAAAATATGTTTTAAAAAGGGGAAGTCTTTTGATACTAAATCGTAAAAATTGTGGTAAGCGATATAAATATTAGTTACCCACTACTTTGAAATTTCTTTGGGTATCTCTATATGTACTCATTCTACCAATCAAAACGTTGCCAAAGGTTTTTACTTTAGTTTGAACTGCAAGTTGTCAGCCTGCCAACGAAGCGCAAAAAAAAAAAAATTAAGCAGTAGTCGCGCGTTTTACAGCTTACCATAGTGTCTACATGCATTATAAAATTCAGCAATGACTGAGGCACAAAAAGTCTCCAGGTTGCAATATGTAATGAAAGAAAATGCGTACTTTTCTTAACAGCAAACCCGCATTCAGGCAGCTTGTTTGGTTATTGCTGGATTTCTACCGGCGTCGTCGCTGCCTGCCTTTAGGTATGTACACATAGTCTTTCTACGATATTAACTCACCTAGTAACTGGAGCTTCTGGCCGGTTTCTGTGACGTGACTGGGAGCGACTGGGAGCGACTGGAATATTACTGTTCTTCTGGTTGGCATTTTAGTCCATGTCAGGTGTCAGGTGTCAGGTGTCAGGTGCTCCTCCTCTCAAAGTTATTTAAACAAAATATTTACTGCTTTGTGGAAGACAACGCAATGACTCGGCCAGGGTTTCATCTCGGACCTTTCGACTCGTAGTCCAGCGCACTTAGGGATAGACCATCCGTAAAATAAAAAAAACAACAACAACAACAAAATTCTTGCATCTCTTGGAGACCCTTCCCCCTCTTTCGTCAATTTTCTGATGGTCCACCCGCTAGGTCAGTGCTTCCTGGGGTATATACTAATACTAATATAGTGTTTCTGACCGCTTGAAGCCTGAGGCTAAATTACGGGTGCAGTTTAAGGTTGAGAACAGACGTCAGCATATCAGGCGCCCCTGGCAGCCGCTTCAGTCCATCGATATTACCTTCCCACCCATCCCACCCAGGGGAGGACATCCATCACACAGTAATCTCGTGTGTGGAAAATTAACGTCTCCTACCCCAACCCTGCAGGAGACGGGACCTCCATTTACTCGTCCCTATCCGAGAAGACTAGAATATCTAACCATTTTTTGATGTTATAGAAAGGCAGCAAATTCATCTCAATTATTTTAAGACCCTGAGTGTTGGTCAGGCCGGGGCTCGAACCCTCGACCGGCGCTCTAACCAATTGAGCTAACCGGGAGACCGATTTTCAGTTGAGGATTCTGCTTTATTTCTCTCTGTGATTGGCGCAAAGAACTCTCCCCATTGTCTTCACCAATCCGATGCAGAACTGAAACTAATCACGAGTTGGTCACACGCGTTTTCCCGCGCATTAGGCAGTTGCTTGGTTCTCATTGGTTCCTGAGGATATTTTACTTTCTTCTGATTGGTCGTTGTGGAAGTTTGGGTTTGGTTTTTTTGGCACCCAATCGTAAAGCGTTCTTTCAAGTATAAAGACTAGCCTGCATGCAATCCATACTCAAAGCTATTTCAAGCTCTCTGGTTTGAGTGATTTCTAAAGGATCTCCTTTAAATTCTATAGTTTTGATTATAACTTCGCAATCAGAATTGAGCGCGGAAGCTCTCTTTTATGGATACTGGTAGGGCTCCCTCTCTAAACCAGTACCCAGTCCTCTCCCTGTTTGCGACAATTTGCACTGTGCACAGAAACACTGTCGTATCTTAAAGCACTCTTGTTTTGATTTTCCTTCAGATGTTCTTGAGCTTCAGTTACTGAACTTTTCGTATGCCTGATACTTGTTTGTCCTTTTTCAGGGTGAGCCTACATGCCGAACAGCAGTGCAGGAGCGCCATGACAAATTACGAAATATTGCTGATAATTTAAGGCTGATTATGGTAAATGATTGTGTGCGTTTCTGTAATAAGCAATAAAGTGCAACCTAACAGCCTGTTCGCCGATATCGTGCTAGTGGTGCAGGGCAAAAAAGGAAGGGGATTTGAGACGACCGGGCGACTCAACCCAAACTTCCTTTTTTTTTCGCTCTGCACGACACTATTGTGCTCTGTTTGCTGAATGAGTTCCTAAAACAGGCTAGTTCCAGTGCAGCTTAGGATGAGTGGTAAATGATAAAGAAATGGAACTGCGAGGAGTGTAGGGAAATGTTGTAGAAGCATAAGTTAAGGAATACCGTGAAGTGAATCTCTCGTTAACACTTACTTCCCAAGATCGAATTAGTTATTCTCCTCTCAAGGTGCTGTGCATTTCCTTTGTAAGTGAATGTGATGCTGTATCAGGATAATGGTCTGTAATTTAGCATGACGCTTATTACCTTTACCTTGTTACTTCTTTAGGCGACAATTGAGTCTCGTCTCTCATCAGCTGACTCAGTACCAGTCCCTTTGTCCGCAAGTGATGAAGAATTTTTTCAGAAGGCTTTCCAGGCGTACTGTCTGTTAGAAATCCACTTGCACCACATGGTAAATACAAAATCAGTTCTATGAAACGAGGAAGAAGTAACGATGATGGTAATAACACTAATGATAACAATGAAAATAATATTCAAAACATAATGCGATAACTACAATAATTTGAGGGGGCGTTTTTAAAAAACTAAAGAAAATTTACTTGACCGATTCCCACTTCCCAGTCATCGATATCGTGATCTTTTAAGTGAGGTTTATGACCGTTGATTGGCGTTGAAACTTCTTTGAGAACCATTTGAAACAAACACGCCTCACACGCGTTTTTCACCCTAGCATAATGGGAAAAATTTACTCTCTTGCATGCCATCCGTGCTTTGATGTGTCCTAAGCTTCTTTCTCAGTATCAAGTTTAAAGATTTACGAAATTTCTTCGTTGTGTTTGTAGGAAAAGAATGACGATTATGAAGGAGCTTCGACAGCCATGGAAAACGTGCTCGTCTGGGCTGACAGAGTGTTACTGCCAATGATTAACATGGACAGGTAAGTTTCCTCTGGAGTATATGATACATGGTATCTAAATTTCTGCCATAATTATAGAAATTCTCGTGCGCTCATTGGTCAAGAGCCATCGCCATTAAGGTTATAGAGGACAAAAATGACACATCATGTAACAAAACGCTCAGCATTCCTCACTATTTCGTGGGAAGAATTGCTGCTTCTCGTGGTTTAACTTAAGTTTTGAACATTGTTGACGTCATATAGATGATTAATGAGGTTAAAGATAATGGAAAATTGTGGTCGATTTGTTAAATAGACATCAAAAGAAATTTTTTTTGCATACGCCCTCAATTCTTAATTTTACGAAGAAAGCGTTAGCTTTTTTCACAACGGGTTCTCAATTTACAGGGACTAGCAAGGACCTTTTTTTTTTCGAGGCATGGGAGAAGTCTGCGGCTTTATTTACAAATAGTTATGGTGTTAATTAGCGAACTTGAATTTCATGAGCAAAATGGAAATGCATGTAACACTGTGAATTAACTTTTAGGAAAGTTTCAGTTCAATTGATCAAAGGAGGTACTGGTACCAAACGTGCCCGCGAAGAGGAACAATTATGCTGTTTGGCAACTCATTTAGTAGAGGTATGTATTGATAATAACACTGTACTGGAAATTTCACCACCTGACGATATCTCACGCGTTAACGCGATTTATCATATAATCCCCAAGGTCCCTTGAGCGTACCTTTAGTGAAAATATATTAGACTAAAACCTCGTATGGGGGCTGCACGCGATGGCGTGAGCAGGGCCTTACGAATCAATGCGGCCTGCGAGGTACGAGTGACGTTTAAATTATAAAACTTATTGACTGAGTCAGTATTTTCTGTTTTTCGGTGTAGTTTTGGTGCCTACAGCGTTTCCTTGGTGTGCCGTCGCCAATTTTTAGACCTGCTTTTAATTATTTTGCCTCAACTGTCTGGCGCGCTACCCGAAGTCACTGTATCACGATTTACCACATCCTCAGGTTTAAGTTCCAGCCGGAATAGCCAATCGCATTGCGGGAATTATCTTAGCTATGTGGACCTCCTTTAAATACATGCATAGTGTAGCGAGTCTGCTTCGAAGCTGAAGTTCTTAAAATGTAGTTTAAAGCGTCTGCTGTTTATTTTCGGCCTTAGACCATTTTGATGTGCCTGAGCGAAATAGTCATGCTTCGAATGGCTGAAGAAAACTTCTACAACCATGCAGCAGTTTTTACAACATCGCTAGCAAAAATCGGTGAGTGAATTTATTAGTTCCATTAAATACATTTGACTTTGTTTACGATCTCCAGAACGGTTCTTGAATTTTCTTGAAAAAACAGTCGATAATAACTGAACTTTTTTGAGAAGTATTTAAGAAAAGGTGATCATTTTTATTACGAAGATCATAAACCAGGTTCCGTCCCAACTTTATGAAATGTTTTCCTCTAAACGCCTAACACTAACGTGGGGTATCAGCTATGGGAGGAGAGGAGCGTGCTTGAGGAGGGTTTGAGGCGCCTTTGGTCTAAGGGGGACAGGAAGAGAAAAACAGCACCTTATTGACAAATGGTAAACACCACAGCGTACAATAAGAAGCTAGAGTTACTCTCGGCTATCAGCTTGCGCGACTCTTACGCTCTTACACTCAGTAGTGTACGCTGTGGCGTTCACCATTTGTTTTAGAACATAACATTGATGCATTGAAGCAAAAGGGTGCCACTTTTCTTAGCAAATATTACGTGACCAAAAAAAACAAGCGCGCGAAAACTAGTCTTTGCATTTGCTCACGTCAGCAGCGTTCACCCATGGGCAAATGGTGGGCACTGATTTGACCAATCAGAGCGCGCACTTTACTTTGGTTATATCATAACTATGTATGTGTGATTTTGGAGGCGTTTCTTTCCTCAGGCTGCAAAGCAGTGGAGTTTTTACCGCATCTTTCCAAACTGCTTTATCAACTTGCTCACAGCTTGCTTTTGAGTGATGGTAAGTACTTTGCCATCACTATGTATTATCTTAGTAAAGAGGATATTGGTAGATCTTTATTTTGTTTGCGTTGTTTCTGTCTTTCGTTCGCGCTTTATAAGATCGATACGATCCTTACATTATGCCAGATGTGTTTGAAAACCTCAAGGCCTCGCTATTAGGAAATGAAAAATGAAAACCTTAGGCTGATAAAAAATAATTATGATTAAATGATAGATAAATGTTAGGCAATGAAATATAATTCCCTTATTCGTTGCACTATACGATTGGCGCGGGCATTTAAACCAGTGGATATGGTGTATGTATTCCTTTGCTCTTCGGAGTATACTGGAATAAAATGTACGCTTGTATTGTCTTCGTCCATGCGCAGAAACAGGGAATGTCGCTGTTCAAAGCGGGCCTGTGTCGATTGTCCTGACAAACATACTTCAAATACTGACTGCTTGTGACAGTACAGAAGTGGATGTTCTAACACAGGTAAGGAATAATGGTTTTCTTTATGGTGGTCCGTCTCCGCCAAAAATCAAAGTATTGATGTGACACAATTATTAGCGGCCTTGGTACGCAGGTGGAGAACTAAAAATCGATTGCTTTTAAGGCGAACATAGCGTTTCGCATAGGCGAACTATGCGTTTGACAAAGACTAGCATTGCGTTTGACAAAGACTAACATTGCGTTTGACAAAGACTAGCATTGCGTTTGGCGAAGTCTAGCATTGCGTTTGACAAAGACTAGCATTGCGTTTGACAAAGACTAGCATTGCGTTTGACAAAGACTAGCATTGCGTTTGACAAAGACTAGCATTGCGTTTGACAAAAACTAGCATTGCGTTTGATAAAGACTAGCATTGCGTTTGACAAAGACTAGCATTGCGTTTGACAAAGACTAGCATTGCGTTTGGCGAAGACTAGCATTGCGTTTGACGAAGACTAGCATTGCGTTTGACAAAGACTAGCATTGCCTTTGGCGAAGACTAGCATTGCGTTTGGCGAAGTCTAGCATTGCGTTTGACGAAGGCTAGCATTGCGTTTGACAAAGACTAGCATTGCGTTTGACAAAGACTAGCATTGCGTTTGACAAAGACTAGCATTGCGTTTGGCGAAGACTAGCATTGCGTTTGGCGAAGTCTAGCATTGCGTTTCACTAAGACTAGCATTGCGTTTGACGAAGACTAGCATTGCGTTTGGCGAAGACTAGCATTGCGTTTGGCGAAGTCTAGTATTGCGTTTGACAAAGACTAGCATTGCGTTTGACAAAGACTAGCATTGCGTTTGGCGAAGTCTAGCTTTGTTTTGTTGATGCGACAAAGTCTCATACCGATAAGCTTTAAAGTTGGACTTTGAGCCAATAGTCTATAGTCTGATGTTGATGAAGTTTGATGTTATCCCAATTCGCCGGTAACAAAATGAAAAGGGGTCTGTGTCCGAAACTACGACCGCAAAGCATGTATGGATCTGTTCAGACCAATGTTAGCAACGGTAAAGCTTGGTGTTGCATTACTAGTCCGATGTTATCAACCGTAAAGTCCGATATTGGCTTTGAAGTCCGATGTTGACAAGGTAAATTTGGGTGTTGAATCAAGTTTGGTATTTGGCGGAGAAAGAAAACCTTATTTCTTTGTTTTCCTCTTTAACATTTTCTTCCTCTTTTTAACCGTGTCATAAGTTTTTGCTACCGATTCGATGTTCCTCAGTCCTTTGGTCCGTTCACTCGTTCCCAGTTTTCGCTGTTTTTTCATTCACTCTTTCGCCTGCTTGTTCCTTTCTGTTGCTTGTTTCAATCATATATTGCCCTTCCTTTTATTGATTTTCTTCTTCATTTTTAATTTAGTTATTCATTTAATTTTCAGGCACTTCTTACATTCCGTCCTGCTTTGGCTGAAGTTCTCATGCTTACTGAGCTTGGTCGGAAACGCGGAAGTGAATCAAATGCGTGTGTCGTTACACCGCTGTTATCTGCTGTATTGACGAACATTACGCAACAGGTTTGACAGAACTGCTGTACACCATAACCGCGGTCCGTACATTATATGATATTATTGAATTGCTCTTATTCAACACAGCGGTTGAACGTAAGACATGCGCAAGGGAGTCAATTTTGTCCGATCGTGCGCCAATTTACCGCGCAAAATTACCAAAGAAAACATAAGAAACGACTGCTGTCACACAAAATATGCAAAGAAATGTTGAAGCGTTCATGGTAAGGTTTAAAAGGAAAACTCAAGACTTATTGTTCATAAAGCTTAGTTGTTTAATTACAGGGTTCGTGATAATTTACCGTTTTGCTTTGAGTTTCAACAAAAACGTCGTATGGTTTTTCAAACACCGTGACTTGCTCGCCTATGTGATTGTTTATGACTTGTGAGACAACTTGGCCTAAAATCGCGACGCTTAGCCTCTACAACGTTCGTTCGTGCGCAGACGTTTAACCGCGTGTTCTTTAATTCATTTGTGGACTGTGATTGAAAAAAAAGTTACTTTACTGAGAAACTTTAGAAACTTGAAATCACCCGTGTGTGTGTATATGTGTGTTAATATTGTAATTCACTATTGTAATTTGGCTTCCTAACCTTGTTAACCTTCTTAGTTCTAGTTATTTTAGGTTATTTTTAGTTTTAAGGTTTTTATTTGATTTTAATTTAATCTTCTCAAGAATAAGGGTGAATAAAGTTGTTGTTGTTGATTGAACTTGTGCTGTCTTCCTTGAGGACGTTTGCATATTTATATGAAAATTATTTTTATTTGTTTCTTTTTTTTTCATTTTATCATTTTTACTCTTGGCACTTTCAGTGAACATGAACTTTCCTCTCTTTTCTTTCCCATTTAAGACGCGCGCTGTGGAAGATGATACTGATGCTGTGCCTGAGTTACCTAAATTTGCAAGTTTTATTTTGAAAATGATAACAAGCACTCAGCCGTTGTTGAGGTCAAGATTTAGTCGTTTAGTGTCTTGAGGCCTCTTGTCTGATTGGTTTTTAAGATTCTTTACAACACGTGCAACACTCGTAGCACCAATGCTACTAACGATACTTATTCTTTTGTCTTTTTAGATCCTTTTTGTTGGAATTGAAACAGCGAGTTTTGTCCGGGGCGCTCGATAAGAACATAGACCAACAGGAAGCTGTTATTTCACTTCTCGGAGCCATTCGAGGTTTGTGAGCGTCCTGTTCAGATTCTTTTGCCGAGAGGTTGAACAATTAATGCAACATCCTCATCAATTTTCTTTACTTGATCCAATATAAAGCGATAATTTGAAACGATTCAACGTTTTGATAATGTTTATGGCTTCCTTTTGTTGCTTGAGAGCACCTCCTCCAGCGCCTCTACCGACGCTGCCATCTCCATAGGAGAAAACATTGTCCAGGATTCATAAGAGTGGAAAACCAGATAGCCCGACCCTAAAATTTATCATCAACTGAGCTCAAAGATATCTACGAAACTCGGCCTGGCGATCCACTGCACGTGTTAGAAAAACTAACCTGTCTTTAAATTACTGCATCCGTTATCACTTATTAAAATTTCCCAACCGTCTTTTAGAAAAAACGTTCTAAGTACATTGAACTAGTACTAGCTTTAAGGCAGAAACGAGGCGAAATGAGTTAAGAACACCGTTGTGGCTTACTAAAATGGCAAACACTAGAAAAGCAGAGAGAATTTCTATCTGTGGTTCAATGTTATAAGATAGTTTTTGGTATTGATCACCTCTCTTTCCCAGATTTCTTTGTGTTTGCCAATAAGGCGTACAAGAGCTAACCACACGGTTTTCCCTTTTCAGGATGTATCTTTTATATTTGCGTTGTAGCTTCCTGAACAAATGTTATGTTTGTTTGAGGTTTAGGCAATTTTCTTTGCCATCCCCCTTCCCTTCTCTTCAAACTTACGTAGTATATGTTGTTATTTATTTTTTTTTTTTTTTATAATTCTTTATCTTTTTACAGGAAAAGCTGAAACAAGTATCGTTAAGACTTGCGCTCTTCAAATTAGCGAACAGCTAAAGGCGTGTGATGGAAGCGATGTTGGGGAACAAAGGTGAGTTATTGTTGTTGTTGTTTTGTATACTACTTTATCCTACACCATCCACGTGCGTGAGGACTTAAGGAACGACACCACCTGAAACGGTCAGCCCTAGCGTGTTGTACAGAAAGGTTTAATAATAAACACTTCAAACTCTCGGACTGACGACAATACGTTTCCAGTCATCACGGATCGTCCCATTGAATCGCGTAGCGTGTTTGGTATGAGCTTGATGCTTGCAAACACAATGTCTCTGGCGCCCAAGATCGACGATGTTCGTTCTACCATCTTGGACTACAAACCAAATTTAGGGTTCATTACCGAAACGTGGCTGAGGGACACCATCAGTGGAAACCACCTCCACATTCCCGGTTACTCGTTTATTTCTAGAAACCGCACCACGGACATTCACGGAGGGATTGGGCTCTATATAGTGGACTCGATCAGGTATAGATCTCTTGATCACTTACAAGACCCTGAGTACGAAGTTCTTTGGGCGTGGTTAAGACCAAAAAGACTCCCGCGCGGGACACCCTGCGTTATCACGGCCACGATATACCATCCGTTCTTCAACGACAGCGCCAGAGACACTGCTTTGTTGGACTATCTATCAGCATCCTTGACTACTGTTGAGGGAGAATTCCCAGGTTGCGGGATTCTACTCTGCGGCGATTTCAATCGGCTAAAGTTGAATCGTTTAGCTGCACAATTCGGACTGCGGCAATTGGTCAACAAGCCCACTAGGGGTGATCAGATCCTGGACTTGGTGAAGTGG